ATCCCCTCTCAGCCTTCTCTTGTGGAAGCTGAACAGGTTCAGGTCCCGTAGCCTCTCCTCATAGGGCCTGCCCTGCTGCCCCCTGATCATGTGCGTGGCCCTCCCCCACCCCCCCACCAGTTCATCGGGGCTTATTTAAATAAGTTGGCATGGAGCCAGAAACTCATCATTTTAATGCAGTGTAAAATGGAATATGCATAATTATATGCAAGCCATATGTGAGGGAGACAGCTCAGCTGTGAATTTCAGGAGGCTGAGAGAGTGAACAGTCAGGGATTAGATGAGATGAGAGTGGAACAGAGTGCAAGTGTCACCCAAATGAACAGTGTAATGAGTGTGTTGCTGACACTCCTCCTTTCACCTACTTCTCCCTTTTGCTTTAACTCTAAACCAGAAAATGTTGTAGATTAGAAGGTAAATACTATATGCAAGCAGTATTGCTAATGGGATCTGCTAATGTCTCAATTTAAACTTCAGCTTTCTTAATTAACAGTGTAGATCAAAATAACTAGTAACTTTTAATGCATTTTCTTAATTAAATATTTTATCACATTTGATTGAAGAATCATTGTTCTTGGTAGATGATTGCTCCATTCAGATCTTTACTTAAAAATGGAGAGGTAATCCATTTATCTTTAATAGTATTACATGTAAATTATGAATATGAAAACCTATTTATTATGGCCTTGCTGTTAAAATGAAAATAGAAGTACATTTTATAGGGATTGCTTAAGCATGTCAAAACGTTTAAACAAGTACGTATGTAATGTAATCCTGAAAAATGCAATGAAGTAAACTGAAACCCTGCAGTACTTGCCATTTCCAGCTCAAATATTTCATTTTGGGTTTGTCTCTTGTTGTTCTAATTATTACACCACAGTGAATTTGCATGTTCAGCCTAAACTATGTAATAAAACAGCATCCCAAGTTCTTATATCTAAAAGGTGTACTGCGTATTTAAGCAAATTACTTAATAATGTTGTATTTTGGAATTCCCGTTTGTTTTAATGATCTGAGCTGTTATGCTTTTAGCTATTTTTTTCCTTCCATTATTTGTAAGTCCCTAAATAGGCCATTATATTTCCCTTCAGGCTAGAGATGAAGATGGACATGCTGAAAATTTTCCCCAGCAGCACTATGCTAAGGAAACTCCAAGGCTTGCCTTCAAGAATAACTGCGAACTACTTGTAAGAATAACATACTTACAACAAGTCTAGATTGTTACTTTAGCACAGTGAAAACAGTTTTTTGAAAGGCTTTTGTTCATGATTACATACATTATGAAATATTACAGCTTTTTTCCTGTCTAGAGTTCTAATGCTAATTCTGATATCACTGAACAATTTTAAGATATCAAATTGTTTGCAAATCTTTTATATCTGATTATAGAACTTGAATGGCCTTGTCTTACTGTCTTGTTTTGTACAGTAGTTCATAAGAAGCATGTAGGGAATGGCCAGAAAACACAAAAAATGTACCTCAAAAATCTCCCAAAAGACAAAAATCACTATCCCCTCCACATTTTAGCTATACATTGTTTTCAGAAAACATCGTAATATTTTGTTCTGGTAGGAAACACAGCCGAGCTGACACGCAGTACTCCCTTTAGAATTCAACAATTCTTCTACTTTCTAGCAAAATGTAGTCAGGCACTTTCCCTTCTTCTCTTCTGTGGGGAAGGAGTGAAAGCCAGGAAAACACTGACAAGGAGCCTGGAATGTTTACAAGCCGTAAGAGAGATGATATCAGCTGTGAAAAGATCTCTGTTCCAAGGCAGGGTTAATTTGCTGTTCATTTTAGCATTCGTAGCTAGGCAAGATTAAAAGCAAGCAGGAATGCCTATTATATTTCTACTAAATGAATCTGTTGGGACCTAATGTTCTTGATTAGCTTGCAAAAATGAGTGCTCCACAATGAATTTTTCTGTTTACCTAAAGTAAACAGAGAATGAATTTGTAATTTATTTAAAGAGAGATTTGCACATTGACTTAGAAAATTAAGTTTTGAATTAATTTATAGATCTTTTCCTCACATTTCCTTTTCTTCTCGACTGCATTTAAGTAAAATACATAATTTGATTAAACGAGAAGTAGAGCACACAGTTTTATTATGAAACTACTTAAAAACATTCCCCCCCCCCAAATATAAGTCTATAAAAATGGGGAGGAAAGTGGCAGGTAGTACTCCTTTGCCTCTGAAAACTCCTTCTACAGAAACTTAAGGCCATATTTTGCTTTCAGTCCCACAGGTACAACACCCAGGGAATTTAGTCAGTTGTACTAATGTAACTGAGCACAGCAAGTGGTCTCTGGGTTTTCAGTTGTGTCAGGGATTTGAAAACAAAGCCAACCTGTGCTTGCCACAGGAGAGGGGATATGGGAAACAAAGGTTGCTTTACTGTCACCTTTGTATTCCTCCCTAACCTTAGGAGCAGCCCTGGGATTACACTGTACCTTGCCCCTGGCTTTTTTCCTGGACCATTGCAGCCACAATATCACCCCAACACTACTGCTATACCTCTTGTCATGAGACAGGGCACTGCAGCGCCCCAGGGGCAATTCCAGCAGTAGTTGCTGAAGCCGTGAGGAGACTAGCTGTCCCTCCATTCCCTGGGGATACCCCTTATCAATGGGCCAGGATAGGACATATATATAGTACCTAAGTGGTAGCCCCATAATCATCAATGGATTTCCTTTATTAAAAAAAATTTCCAGGTAGCTGGTTCAGATGCTTTCTAGCTGCTTGTGTCACCCAAATGAGCCAAATTCATTCCTAGGGTTGCTTCTGCATTTTCTCTGCGTGTCACCCTTAGTAGCTAATTTTAAAATTAAAAAAAAAATGAAGACATGGCTGCCTTTACTTCAAGGGAGTAACACCCACAGGCTGGATCTCAGGGACTGATCTTGAAAGGAATTGGATCTCAATTCAATTGCATAATTCCTGTTGACTTCATTGGGAGCAGGATTAAGTCCTGAGTAAACAAAGAGCAAAAATTATACACAAGTATACAAAATTATTTCCCAGTCCAGCTTTATTTACTGTGCTTCATAAGAGGTGCTTCTTTCCTTTCTGGCCATGCTGAACTTCAGCAGCACTAGTTAGGTAGGCCTGACACCCCCTTTCCTACATGATCAAGACTGGGCAGTAGGAGTTTTGAGTACACAACAAAGAGAATGGGCTTGAAAACAACAGTCTCATTTAGCAATGAAATAACTAATTTTTTATTTCAAATGAAAAATTACTTTTCTATTTGACGCCAGTACTCTTTCCTGCCATGGCGGGGGGTCGGACTAGATGATCTTCTCAGGTCCCTTCTGACCCTAGAAACTATGAAACTATATAAGCAAACAGTAGAACCATTAATCCCCACTTCCACAGTCTCAAAAACAAACATTGTTTTAATGTGCAGTTATTTCCCCCGCCCCTCTCCCCACCCAATCAATCTACATTTAAAATACTGCACAGTTATATACATGTACCCAGCAGCATCTCACAGTCATCCTAGCTAGTCCTCCATGTGCTTTTTGGACAGGCTTCAGTTCTTATTTAGGGAAGGAATCAGAGTAATTTGTCACCATTTTACTTTTCCTATGCTGTCGGGGGAGGGAGGGGGGGGAATTGGCAGGGGTGTCATCTGTAATTTATTTCATATTTGAAAGGAAGTGTACAAAATTATGAATATGTTCTTCTGTTATCATTAAATATATATTT